AGACTATGACCGCACTGCGAGTCACTCGTTCAATAAGTACTGAAATTGAACGACTCAAACTTGAAAATGGTAAGTTATTATCTACTTACCTTTGAGTGGAAAACTAACGCCAACCCGACGAAAATGACGCCACGGCAATTTACAAAATTGTCTTTTATCAATGTAGTATGTAAGTAACGGTCATAAGGCGAAACACAACGCATCCGTTTTTCGTTTCGCTTTCGTTTTCATTTCGCTTGTTCCTCTGGAGATATGAGTGACCTTTGACGACGTTTCTCAAGTTTTTTTTTATAATTTGTTTCAAAATTCTTACATTGATAAACATGTTTAACATAATTTCATTGCTACACATAAAAGTAAAATACTTTTGGCATCTGAAAAATTAGTACTAACTTTCGAGGTAAGTACCTTTTTCAGTTAGTTTACCTTAAAATTATAATTCTGCGAAACGGTACAAAAATGTAGGAATGTAATAAAAATAGTTTTTTCAACATTAATATGACAAAATCGGTTTAACAATGATTCCATTATCTTTGAGCTCGCAATGCGAAACCAGATAAATTATATCCTCTTCAAAATACGAAAAAGGTATGTAAGGCTGCCATACAAAAATATACTCAGTTAACCATAAAATAAGGAACTATAATTTATAACATGGGCCTGGTTGACGCTGATAGCTCGCTTGTGTGGACTCATGCGTCTTAAGGATTTTCAGGACACGGGAATATTATTAATTTATGATGATCACTACACGACGTTCAATAGGCCTATTACGCACCAATCATAGAATCAACTCAAACTGAGAATCGGAAAAATAATTATTGCTAAAATGAATAGCGATTGGGTTTATTTCAGTACAATTGACAGCCAAACGGATGCAATTGAAGCGACAAAGCGATGAAATCACAAAAAGTGTGGAAAAGGCACGGGAGACACAAAGCGAACTCGCAAAATCCTTGAAGCAAGAAGAACAGGCAACCGAACTCGTTATGTAAGTTTTATTGAACCACATTTACCGGGTTTATTTAGATTTTAATGTTTAATGTTGACGTGTGAAAGTGTAGTTCTATAGTATATTTACAAAAAAATAATAATTCATCGTTTCATTATATCTCACCTTATTTAGCTAGAGAACTTGTTTCATCTCAATATATGTAATGTTACATACGTTACATATATTGTATTATGTTTACTTGTAAAACACGGTGTGTTTACGTTGTTGTGATATTATTTTATAAAACCAATTAACCGGCGTAATCCGTGCCGCCCCAAATACTTTAAAAATGACGGTTTAATTCCTTGTCAAATATCTAATGTTGTTATTATCTAATATCACTTACAGACCGTTTTGTAGAGAAAATTTTAGTATTTCATATGCAATTTCCTAAATTAACTCACAGATACAACCTTAACTTGGACTTTCACGTAATTTCATTACGTTCAGTACAATAAAATCACATTAGGTTCTAGTTTAAATCTGAGCATTTATGTTATCAATCAAAAGATCTGTGAACTTAATAATAGGTCTTTACCTATGAAATTGCCATTCTGCAGTACTGGCCATTTCAAATCAAAATAACTATGTAGTTTTTGTTAGGCTAAGGCTAATTAATTTTGTTTTAAAAACATGGGATTCTTTTTCCAAAAGTAGTCATTTGTTTATTGATTAGTGTTACATTTACAACGTATTTCAAATCAAAAAAATCGTTTAAATTTTTTCATGCAAAACGGCAATTTCATAGGTAAAGACCTATTAATTATTTTCAATTACAGACTGCTTTAGAAGCAGTAATGTTTGTCTTTAGCCAACTATTGTAATCAACATTGAATTTAATTTTAAAAAATAACCACCTATATCATTTTAGATTTCATTTATTTATTTGTAAAACAGAATTGAACGTTTTCATATATTATAAAAAAATATTAATTCTATTTTTATCATTTTTAATTGTAGACGTCAATATGAAGATTTGTTGGAAGAGATTGCAAATAGGTTCAGAAACACTCGTGGATATTACGTACGTAATTTCTGTAACCTTTAGTTTAGCTATCTTATTACATTAAATAGGTCGGCTCTAAGGTGTAGGCTCGATTTCTTCGAGTGGTCCATCACCACTCGAAGAAATCGAGCCTAGAAACTAGTTAACAAAATTAGCGTTGTTCGGTTTTTCGCAAATTCATAGTTTAAATGTAGGAGAGCCATGCCCCGGCACGAATGGGTCGGCTCGACCAGAGTGATACCACACTCCACAGCATAACACAGAAAACCGGCGTGAAAGAACCACAGCGTTGTGTTTGCTGCATGAGTGAAGTTACCTGAGGCCCAATCTTTCCTCTTCACCAATCCTAATACCCAGAAGGTCGGCAACGCACACGTAGCTCTTCCGTAGTTGTGGGTGTCCATGAACGGCGCTGAACAGAGATGGATGTTTTTACTACATGAGCCTTATACATTAATATTGTTATTATAATGTCAAACTACTACTGCTTGCACCTCCTTAAAGAACCAATGACAAAATGAGCCCTTTCGAAAATTAGATTAATACAAAACAAGATGTAGGTACTCTTAAATTACAAATAACTTACTTCCTTTTTAATCAGAATGAAGAAGAAATTAATAAGGAAACTGAAAAAAATAACACAACAATTAAACAATTAACAGAAGAATTAGAAAAGCGACAAGAAATGGTAGATGAATTAAAAACACAACTGAATATGATCCAACCAGCTGTTCCAGAAGATATCCTTGCAGTTTTGTAAGTAGCTTATTTTATTTTTCTAGTTATCTAGGTCAAAAATAAATTATTTTGACAATACAATGAATGGTTAAAGTTTAATCATACCTTCATTCATATTTCACAATAGATAGGTACACTTAATTTCTGAAATACTTACTTCACTTTCAAATGCTTCACTTTGATATGTCAAAATCACATTAGGTTCTAGTTTCAATCTGAGCATATGTGTAATCAATAATATTATTGTAAATTTATAAACATAAACATGCGAATCTTGGGAACTTTCGTATTGTGTAATCTCCCATAGTATACTGACGTATAACTACACTGTAAAACTTTAGTCTCAATATGATTCGCTATTATGTTCGTTTATATTTATCATAATACATTATTCAAAAAATTCAAAATATTAAAAGGAATAGCAAAGAGTTACAGTTACGAAGATTTGCTTATTAATTTTCCTATTAATGGGTATGTATAATTTTATTTAGATAGTACCATATTGCAATAGCATGATAATATTGTTTGTTTATACTCTCCGAAGATTTTCCTTTTTTATCATCATCAACATAAAAGTAGCTGAGGAAAGGTCTTTTCTCACACGAAGAGCATCGTGACCATGAACACACAACGTTTGCTTAAAATTACAAACTTATAATTTGAAATTATAAGTCCAAGTTACCTTACAATGTTTTCCTTAATCGTATGTCATCTAAGCAAACTTAGAAAGCCTAAATGTGACTCGAAAAAGTCTCATAGGGTTTACAAGAATGAGAAACAGGCCTTTTACTCTACCGGCCACTAGGAAATAAATAACATGCAACATCTTATACAGTGATTCCTTAATGTTTCAGTGGAAAACAAGATTTAGATAACAAAATAAAGGAGCTTTCCGAGAAGTTAGAAGCATTAATTGAAAAACGAAAAACTCTTCTGGAAAACTAGATTGATATTCGACACTTCTAAATGTGATTTTTTTCAATTATTGTTATTTCTAGGTATTGTTGATTCATTTAATAAATTATAGTTGGGACAACGTACCGAGAAGTGTTAATTTCATTGTACAGTTGTTGTGCTGCTCTCGACTCTTTTGTGTGATCCACATATTGTTGATACGGGTCTGGGTTTGATGAATATCGTTTTATAAATTTAATATATGAATATGTATGTTATAAACGCACCCACGACACAGAAGAAAAAGCTTATGTGATTTTTTCAAGATTATTAATATTAACATGTTTAATTTTACCAGAATTATATTAGGTATGACAATTATTTTAACTAGGTAAGTGCCAACAATAGGTCTTGACTGACCTTTTGCATATACGCGTCAGAATAAGTTTGTAGGTATATGTCAGTTTATTAGATTGAAGTGATGAAAGTTTTATGTGTAATAACATTCATGAAATAGTGGGTATATTTAGTATCAGCGACTCGCTAGTATTAGGCATATATTTTTGAGATACCTTATTCTTTCAAAAGGACCCCCACTACCTAAGACTGAAGATGATAAAATTTAATAAAAACACCAAACAGTTTGAAGAAGAATTAGATATTTTTTCTTTAATAACTGGACAAGTTTAAAGTTTTTATAGATTCTTAAAAACATCTTATCTGGAAAAATGTTATAAACACCTGTATTATTGATTTCGACCACAAAGTGCAGTGGGCGGTACCTCGTGACATATCTACTTCTTTGTTGGCTTCAGTCCAGTTGTTAGTAGACCGTCTCCTGTTTCACCAGACGCCGCCGGCACCATGTCTTTCATAACTTTTGATGTATGTCGGTGAACTAGATACAATGCCCGTATCTTTGTTCACTACTCAAGATGCTCTTTTATTCATTCTAACAATAGCTTGGCTGTAAGTACTCAGTGTGTAAAGTGAAAAGAAAAGCATGTAGGTAGATAAGTACCTAATTAAGTTTTTATTATTTGTCTAGTTAATGTTAACTTTGCATCACACCTTTACGATTATCTTCATATAAATAATCTTTAATAGCATAGCACATTTTTGAAAATAATAGAGCAGACTTGCATTCTTTATCTGTCATCATAATCACTAATAGCCTCCGAGAGTAAACTGCTTATCTATGGGCCTCCTCAATAAAAGATTTGTCAAAATCTCCACTTGACAAGTGAGGTTTAAATTAAGTAGTCTTTTGGTCGACTAAGCAAAGATTGGGCATATAGACTAAACATAGACCACACATGTTTAATAACAACAGATAACATCGATTTCCCATTAAAATAAATGTTTTGGCAATAATAAACTCTATTTAGTAACAAAACATGTTTATTTGCTGATAATTAATAGTCTAAATTAATGAGATTTTGCAGCCGATGCTAATGATGACGTTGGTTTGTGTTTGTGGCTACGAGCATTCTGGAAACCTTGCTGTACCGCTCCAGCGATTGCTGCTCCTTGCAAGAATTTACCCTGAAAATAAAGCAGTCCTTATAATATATATTGTTCAAAATATAAAGTATTGCTATAAAGTTATGTCTTATTTTTCCTTGTTATGGTTGTCTCAATCTAACAGGAAACATAAGATCAATGAGCAAAATCAATTAACGTTTGACGTGGTGTCATCAACTTCATCGTGCACGAGTCAATCTCAATGCTAGTAATTTATAGCTAATTTGCCTCATACTTGTACTCGTAAGAAACAAAGATGAAAGATATTAATTGAAATAGTTTAAATGCGCATTATTGTAATCGTTGGAAATAAATTATTTAGTAGAAAATAAAAGAAACACACATACCAATCCATCTTTGAACCTTTGAGTCCATGGTTTTGCGGTAGTAGTGCTACTTGTGACAACTACTGAACCAGGTAATACCGGCACACCAGACGTAGCACTCGTCACTACGGACACGTGTGCGCATAATGCGACTACAAAAAGAATAGCTAACGCGATCTTCATTGTGTCGTCGACGTGTCTCAACTTCAAATCACCTCAAGCCGACAATAAAACGGGGCTTTATAAACCTCGAATACAGGAAAATATGAAAAAAAAAACACAAACTTGCTTACAACTATTCCCATTCAGTTTCCAACTCATTCGAACATTGTGCGTATTACTAAAACACGTATAAACCCACGTTGTGACACATCAGATTCATTTGTTATTACAAGTTCCTTCTAACTTCATCCACCTTATGTCGTCTAGATACAGAGAATGTTGGATAAATCTAAGGCTCCGGCCGGTTTCGGAGAAAGCACGGCGGGTTTTCACCCGGGGCTGCGGTTTAGCCGGGGCTGCGGGGTAAGCGCAATGAGGCACCGCGACCTCGGCCCAGAGCAGGAGAAGGAACGGGGGGGTTTTTAGTCAGTAAGAGTCTGACACTCTCTCTCGCCTTACCCTGGGCGGGAGAAGTCATTGGATGATTTTCCCCTGACAATAAAAAAAAAAAAGCATTACATAACAGTTGCGGGTCAAATCTGCAAGTGCGACAGGTGTATTTGGTTTCTTCCTTTTTTATAAAATTACTCGGATAAAACAGCCTAAACTACCCTAGGGCAGTTGGTCCTTAAATCATACATTGTCAATTATTGGAATATTCTGACATCGAATTTTAATCATTAGAGCAGATTTTAGCCTTGTGCCAAAGATTTTTTTAATAGGTTTTAACTATTTTCTTCATTATTAAAAGGAATTCCCATTCCCTATAAGTTTGTGAGCACTTCAAGGAAATGCTTACGTAGTCAGTGTCAATAACAAAACAATAATGAAACGATTTACCTAACTGTTTTTTTTGTGAGGGGAAAATCATCAAATGACTTCTCCCGCCCAGGGCCCGGCAGGAGGGAGTATCAGACTCTTACTGACTAAAAACCCCCCTGTTCCTTCTCCTGCTCTGTGCCGAGGTCGCGGTACCTCATTGCGCTTACCCCGCAACCCCGGCTGAACATCAGCCCTTTAGGGCCCCGTCTGTATTTACCTACCTGTGAGGCAGAAATATTAGTTAGCATCAGGCTTGCCTGTAATAAAAAAAAAATAGAGGCATTTCGGTATATTGTACTTAGGGAATGGAATGAAATATGGAAGGGATAACCGGAATCAGGTAAAATATAAAGCATTTGAAGTTTACAAATGGTTATCATTCTCCGAACTAACTAATTAATAAATATTTCACTTTCCGCTTGACATATTTAATAAGTCAGAATTGAAAAAGTGTGGAAGGGACATTACAAAAGAACAAGAGAACCACTGCTACGGTGGGCGGTGCTTCCAAAACCTGTTCACTATTTTGTTTTCTATTCAACGTAGATATCTTTGTATTATATTCGGATGAATATTATACTCCACAAGAAATAATAATAAAGTTAACCTCTCACAGTATCCACGGGTAAGCCCAGAGATTTGTACGGGATTTAAAAAAAACAAATTTTACCTATACAGGTATTTAAGACACTATATGCTTTATTAAAAAACAAGGTTTTACTTTAGTCTAGGACTAAACCATTGAGCTAGTTTTTGTATTTCGAATTGAAGGAAGATGAAAATAAGATTCAAAATTCACAACCCGACTCAATGGTTTGTAGCCGCACCTCACGACTACATACCTACCAATACCATATTCAAAACCATGTACCAATTTACCTTATATATTTACCTTACCGATACCATCGAATACCTTACCATACCTCAAAACCAGTTACCATATACCTTCCAAATACCAACGTTTTTAGACTTTCCGTTATCAACAGAAACATGATAACAATTGTCTTGAAAAAGACAGTTTAAAACGTTTTGGACTGTGTTAACATGAAACGATAAATATTGTCTTGAAAAAGACAGTAAACGTTTTAGACTCTGCCAGAAACAATTATTTCGGCCCGGCGTAATACGCCGTGCCGAGCGTAGTCGCTTCGAAAGAAGCGGTTTGTTATTAGCAAGCATCGCTAGCGGAGCCGGAGGCGGAGCACCTGCACCCGCCGCGTCTTCAATCTTCACACAATCTGCACTCGACGACGGCGCGCGGCGAAATGTCGCGCTCTCGGCGCGCGACCCTTTTATATGCAAACGAGAGATCGCGGCGGCGCGGCGCCGCGACCAAAGCGGCGGCCCTCGCCCCGCGCGGCCCGCGATCGCCGGCGCGTCGCCATTGGTCAACACATACCTAACGGCGCGCGATATGGTTTTGATGTACAATTGTAAATATAGATATAAGTAGCAATAATTAGCGAAATAAATCATTCCGAAACACGCATCTCAACGAGTATCATTTACAAGAAGAACCTTCTCGTAGGACAACTAGGCTCTCCTACCTAGTTCCTACAGTGGTGACCCCGACGTGATTATCGACGCCATCCTGCCGACGGATCCCTGCAAGAATCGCCTTGTACCTTATCAAGCTCGTCGTAATGTCGGTCGAAAAAATGCCGGAACTTTCGAGCGTTTCGACGTCGCTGCGCATCCCACCCATATGGCGCGACAAAATACGCCTATGGTTTGCTCAGTTTGAAGCAATAATGTCGCCACAGAAGAAGGGTGACCAAGCCATGTTCGAGCTTGTCGTCGGTCACCTGGAACGACAAGACCTCGACGAAATCAGCGACATTATCCTCCACCCACCCGAGAGAGATCGCTACGAAGCTCTGAAAAACAGGCTACTCCAGGTCTACGAAGAATCAGAGCAACGTCAAGTACAACGGCTTCTCTCAGAGATGGAGCTAGGCGATCTAAAACCATCACAGTTACTTCGCCGAATGAAAAATCTCGCCGCGGATAACATATCCGACGCTGCACTTCGCATCATGTGGACCAATCACCTGCCACAGTCCGTACGTGCAGTCCTCGCTGTCAGCGATAACATCGCGAAGTACTCAGATATCCACGATCTGGCGATGATGGCAGACAAGATCCTCGAACAGACGCAACCCCATGGCACAGTCGCTGCTGTCGCCGAAAACCCGACATTCCCCCGTGTACATGCAAGTATCGAAGACAAGATCGATATGCTGACGAGGGAAATCGCTGAACTTAAAGCAGCGCAGTCAAGTCATCGTTGCAACCATCAATCACGACGACCCCAACGGTCACGATCGTCGAGCCGATATCGTCCCCACCCCAGACAGCGTGACAACACTCCACGCCGCACAGAATCTGGTATTTGTTATTACCACCGCAAGTTCGGGAAGGAGGCACAGCGATGCACACGTCCATGCAATTTCCAGAACAACAGCCCCCACCCGGAAAACTAACAGCTGCGTTGGATGAGGCGGGAACCGGCGCAACAACTACGTCATACCGCCTATTTATAACAGACAGAAACTCACGTCTGTCATTTCTAATTGATACTGGCGCTAACGTCTCCGTCATTCCAAGACGAAAGGGCGTGAAGGTAACCCCAACCGACTTTTGTTTGTACGCTGCAAACAACACAGTCATCCCTACCTACGGTGAGAAGACACTCCAGCTAGACCTAAACCTACGACGACCATACAGTTGGAAATTCATCGTTGCTGAAGTCAGTAAGCCAATCATCGGCGCCGACTTCCTACGCCACCACCAACTACTCGTCGACATAGCCGGTCGATGTCTTATCGACAAAGTCACCAACCTCACCGTCCAAGCCCCAATCTCATATTCCACCGAGCCAACTGTAAGAAGCATAGACGTCGAACAGCCGTATCATCAAATACTTAGTCAATATCCAGACATCCTACGACCATCATGCATGAAGACCACTCCGAAGCACCGCGTGGAACATTACATTGAAACCACCGGTCCACCTGTACACAGTAAAACGCGGCCACTACCTCCACACAGATACCTAGCCGTGAAGAAAGAATTTGAAATTATGATGCAGCAGGGATTATGCCGTCCAAGCAAAAGTCCCTGGTCCAGCCCACTACACGTCGTACCAAAGAAAAATGGCGACATACGTGTATGCGGTGATTACCGACGACTTAATGACGTCACTAAGCCCGACCGCTACCCGGTACCTCGCCTTAAAGATTTCACATACCTACTCCACGGCAAGAAGATTTTTACCACTCTCGATTTGAATCGTGCATATCAACAGTTACCTGTCTACGAACCTGACATAGAGAAAACAGCCATCACAACCCCGTTTGGTTTGTTTGAGTTTCCCCGAATGTGTCCAGGCTTAAAAAACGCGGGACAAACATTCCAACGGTTCATACACCAAGTACTAAACAATTTAGACTTCGCATTTCCGTTTATTGATGACGTAATCATCGCATCAGAGAACAAAGCACGTCACATCGAAGACCTACAAGAAGTGCTTCGAAGATTAAATGATTACGGTATCACCATCAACCCGTCTAAATGTGTCTTCGGCCAAGAAAATGTAAAGTTCCTGGGATATCAAGTGTCGAGCGAAGGAATCAAACCTCCACTTGAAAAGGTCAGCGCTATTTCTGCTTACCCCAAACCGGAAACAATAGCGGACCTACGTCGTTTTCTTGGCATGGTGAACTTTTACCGTGACAGCATACATAACGCAGCCCATATACAAGCACCGCTAAACGCATTTCTACATAACTCAAAGAAACGCGACAAAACCAAAATCGAATGGAATAACGAAGCACTACAAGCATTTGAGTTGTGTAAAGCTAGCATACAAAACGCAGCTTTACTCGCTCACCCATCCCCGTCACCAACTCAACCTATTTCACTCATGTGTGACGCTTCAAACACCTGCGCAGGAGCTGTCCTTCAACAATACATAAAAAACAAGTGGGTTCCCCTTGGCTACTTTTCAAAGAAATTCTCTGAAGCTCAACAACGATATAGTACGTTTGACCGCGAATTACTATCCATATACATGGCGATCAAACACTTCAGAAAAATGTTCGAAGGAAGAGAACTCATTGTATACACGGATCACAAGCCGCTCACCTATGCAATACGTAAGCCGCCGTCGGACAACGACACACAACGACGCACTCGTCAGCTATTATTCATTAGCGAGTTTACAACCGACCTACGTCACGTGAGCGGCGCGAACAACATAGTCGCCGACGCACTATCACGCGTCGAAACTATCGACTTACCATCCCCAATTAACTACGACGAACTATCCCAAGCACAAGAAAAGGACAGCAATATTCACAACTTAATAAAACAAACAAACATTCAACTTAAGAAAATATCCATACCTACTTCAAACAAGTTTATTTACTGCGAAGTATCGACGCCTCACGTTCGCCCGTACTTACCGATTGACTATCGTCGCATCGCATTCAACGCTGTGCACAATACAAGTCATCCTGGCATACGTACTACACGCAAGCTAATGCAACAACGATACTTCTGGCCGTCTATGAATACCGACATTGGCGAGTGGGCAAAGACATGCATCGAGTGTCAACAATCCAAGGTACATCGACATACGCACAGTGACGTCACATCATTCCCACCTAGCGAGCGATTTGGACACATACACATTGATATCGTTGGACCGCTGCCTACATCCTCGAGCGGACATCGATACCTACTCACTATGATCGACCGCTGCACTCGCTGGGCTGAAGCCGTTCCCCTGCGAGAGATATCAGCCGAAGTCGTCGCAAGAAAACTGTACGAGGCATGGATAACACGTTTTGGGTGTCCTATCAAAATCACAACAGACCAAGGACGACAGTTTGAGAGCAGCTTATTTAAAAATCTCGCTCAGCTACTGGGAGCGGAACGAACTCGTACTACTGCCTACCACCCGCAGAGTAACGGGATCGTAGAACGCTGGCATCGTACATTGAAAGCCGCGCTCATGACTCGACTAGCCGACAACAACAAATGGTTGATCGAGTTACCTACCGTGCTACTAGGACTACGAGCCGCCACGCGCACCGACACTAACACTAGCGCCGCACAACTTACCTACGGACAAGCAATACGATTGCCAGGCGATTTTATATCGCCGTCGCCTACCAACACGAAGATGGATAACGACTACGTAGCCGATTTGCATCGTGTTATCACAAGCTTAACGCCCGCTTATCAGTCGCACACTAACCGACTGAGCATCTTCGTGCATAAAGACCTGCAAACATGCAGCCACGTATTTGTACGTGACGACGCAGTTCGCAAACCACTGCAACGTCCATACAAAGGGCCGTACCTAGTTACCTACAGAAACGACAAGTACTTTACAATAGAAACACCTAGAGGTACCACCAATGTGTCAATCGAGCGTCTAAAGCCGGCCTACGTCATTAACAATGATAACTCAGAACACTGTGCAACACCACCAGCGACTACCCAGGATCAACCTAGTGAACCTCCGTCGAGCGACAGCCATGTACGAAGAACGCGAACAGGCAGAATAATCAAGACCCCAGTACGCTTCGCTCGGGGGGGAGTACTGTAGCCGCACCTCACGACTACATACCTACCAATACCATATTCAAAACCATGTACCAATTTACCTTATATATTTACCTTACCGATACCATCGAATACCTTACCATACCTCAAAACCAGTTACCATATACCTTCCAAATACCAACGTTTTTAGACTTTCCGTTATCAACAGAAACATGATAACAATTGTCTTGAAAAAGACAGTTTAAAACGTTTTGGACTGTGTTAACATGAAACGATAAATATTGTCTTGAAAAAGACAGTAAACGTTTTAGACTCTGCCAGAAACAATTATTTCGGCCCGGCGTAATACGCCGTGCCGAGCGTAGTCGCTTCGAAAGAAGCGGTTTGTTATTAGCAAGCATCGCTAGCGGAGCCGGAGGCGGAGCACCTGCACCCGCCGCGTCTTCAATCTTCACACAATCTGCACTCGACGACGGCGCGCGGCGAAATGTCGCGCTCTCGGCGCGCGACCCTTTTATATGCAAACGAGAGATCGCGGCGGCGCGGCGCCGCGACCAAAGCGGCGGCCCTCGCCCCGCGCGGCCCGCGATCGCCGGCGCGTCGCCATTGGTCAACACATACCTAACGGCGCGCGATATGGTTTTGATGTACAATTGTAAATATAGATATAAGTAGCAATAATTAATGAAATAAATCATTCCGAAACACGCATCTCAACGAGTATCATTTACAAGAAGAACCTTCTCGTAGGACAACTAGGCTCTCCTACCTAGTTCCTACAGGTTTAAACCTGGACTAACGATAAATCTTGTTTTGTAATAAGGGGGTATAACTGGGTGAAGTAAGAGTTGATGAACTTTTTTTATTTACAGACGAAACTTGGTCAAACTCATTACGCCTGTTATTAATAAAGCGATGATAGATAAACAGTTCAAACGATCAACCAACAGATGTCGCTCTAAACGGAGTCTGTAGATAAAATCATCTACTAACTAGCCTCGTCGGGAAAATGCATTTGTGACTAAAGTTCAACGAGTATTCTAGGTATATTGAAAGCGTTATTTAGCACGATACGATGATATGAAAATATGTGTTCTCATATTTCAACTCAAGGAAAGTAATTTGGGTCTTATGAGAAATTGTCATGCCCAGTTTCTGGCGACAGGTTCACTCCGTAATACATATATGTAGGTTTTTTTGTTCTATTTTAATTAAGGGTTTTTATCTACATGGATACGTCAACCCCATTGTAGCTTATACTCGCACTCTATTTTCTCACAACCATACAAGTATTACTAGTGTGGGAGATGCTCTGCATGCTTCGGCACGAATGGGTCGGCTCGACCGGGGTGATACCACAACCTCACAGAAAACCGGCGTGAAACAACCACAACGTTGTGTTTCGCCCTGTGAGTGAGGTTACCGGGGGCCCAATCCTTCCCCTACCCCAATCCCTTCCCAATCCCTAAATCCCCAAAATCCCAATCCTTAAAAGGTCGGCAACGCCCTCGTAACTCCTTCTTTTTTGCGGGTGTCCATGGGCGACGCCGTTTGCATACCATCAGGTAATCCGTCTGCTAGTTTGCCGTCCTATCACATAAAAAAAAGAAAAAACTATTCTTATATGAGACTAATTAAGCATCCATAAACTAAAACATATGAAAGGAAACTATTGTCTAGGTATTAAGCATCAAATTATGCGTTTACGGATACCTTTTTGATTTAGAGATTTATGTAGGTTGCATGACGGAAAAGAGTGAATGAAGTGTAAATAGTGCACATTTCCTCACAGGCCTATGCACATAAAAGTGATACATTCATTCTGAATGTCATTCACTATATGTATTCATTAGGCCTGTGAGGCCGTGGTATCACTCCGATTCACTCCAGTCGTGCCAAAGCATAGCTCTCCCACATAATACATTACTAGTAAGAACGTAATAACGAGTAAAATCACAAATATATTCAACAAATGTATTTAAGTATGTTTTATTTAATCCGTTAAAAAATGTTTTACATAAAATAATTTATTTCAAAACTAGATTATCGTTTTCTATGAATAAAATTGTGGCCTAAAAATTAATCCTAGGGGAAAGAAAATAAATTTTCTTTTGTTTGAAGTTTGACAAGACTCTATAGTACATGTACAAAAATACTCATATTATGTTCCATCTTTTTAAATGCCTACTTGAAGATTAGAGTAGTTTCCTACTTGCCTAGTAGGAAACTACGTTTAAAACATGTCCATAATTGTTTCTCCTAAATTAGCTAGAAAAATATTAAAATTAAACTTCAAATTAAATTACCTAATAAGAGAGTCAATTATTTAATTAGATGGACTCAAATTAAATTTATTTGTTTACATAACATATTTTTATTGAAAAGTCAACTCTATAGTCTGCTAAAAATAATGTAAATTTTTCACACTAAGCTTTGGTTTCCAAAAAACACATAATTATTTACATAACTACGTATAATACCTAGTACGCGTTAGGTACCTATACATGCACAGGTAGAAGATATTTATTATAAAACGTTAAATTGTTTAATTAAAAATAGGTTATTTTAGACGCTTTACTTATAAGTACCTGTATATTGACTAATATTATAAATGCAAATCTGTTTTGTACTGGACACACAAATCCCGACATTTAAGGGGCAGGAGAGTAATCTAGGCTAATAGTGAGTATACTGAATGTTTTTTAATGTTTCTTCTTGTGCTTAGGTTTGAAGAAGCTGTAGACATCATGCGCCGTACTGGCTATGTTAATTGCCCGGAGACCTTTACCCTGTAAAGAGGAAAAATGAAATTATATTATTAATATATGGAAATATGCAACTATGAACTAAACAACTTGAAAAATACTCAACAGCTAAGTGTAAAAAAAAATATTGATATCCCTATTGTACACATTGAATAAGGATTAGCTATAGACTCGAAATAAAATCAATAAACGTAGTTACAATGGTTCACCTCTGCCACCTTAAGGGATAATAAGATATGACGTTTCATAATAACTATCTTTTTGAAGTTGAAGAAAACAGATTTACCTGCCCTAATAACTATAATCACGTACCTACTTATTACCTATATATTTATACATTACTGAGGAAAAAGATCGGTCGGTCACTTATAATTTAGGAAGGGAAATCTAAAGGTATTATAGCTTTTGCAAATGTTGCTGAAATCTAAATATAGCTAACCGACACTTAGTTTAGGGAAACAGACATTTTACCGTCCTGTGTAGGTACTGTAAATAATTTTTAAATAATATAACTCTAAAAAATCTTAGCGAGGTTACTTACAATTGCTGTGCCCGCCTTTTTAATTGCCTTCACAGGTATCTTTCCTGGAGCCGCTTCAGAAGGTACCAGAAGTGCAACTACTACGATGACAATCACAAACAATTTGGTTAACTTCATTTTATTTGATTACTTTGCTGTTTATAATAAAGGACCGATATTAATTACAGAGTAGGTACGCAGTAAGATCGTGGTAGTGACTTATGAAGTTGAACATGGCGAGTCGTGTTTTTATACACTAAGATAGTATGAAATCGGGACTTTACATATCCCGAAACGTTGTATGTCAAAATCGTGATGCATTATTTATTTATAGATAGATATTATGTTTGTGTATATATGTAGATACACTGTTTAACATTGCTCGTGTTAATTTCTGTGAACTGCGCATCTGAGCGATTGCGTCATTTTATGCTCTTATGATAAATGCTTATAAACATCCCGATAAGCCATACTCTCAAACTAACAATTTATTTTTGTTAATAAACCTTAAGTAGGACGTTTACACGTTAACATTAAATAAAAAATATAGATGAAGCCGGAACCTAGATTACAATCTCATACAAAAGTATAAGAGTTATCAAGAACAAACTCATGGTGATTCAACCTTGTAGTAGGCACTCGTAGATCAACGAGGTGTGCGGTCCCGATCCCAAGTCAAATAATTAGTTTGCTAATACTAACAACGTTTGATACTGATACGAGTATCGAATACTAGTGATATATAATACTAGTAGGTATCACGCTTTTAAGTAGTTATTATTATGTTTTCAAAAGACTGGCAACGTGTTAGTGAATCCTCTGGTGTTGTGGGTGTCCATGGATAGTGCTAATCCTTTAGGTGATGTTTATATAGCAGTCAACTGGTTTAACGAGCCATTTTATTAACAGCCTAGCCTGTTTACGCTATACCCTGTTACTGTTGTGACAGCTGTTTATTTCAACTTGTAAATTAGTGCTTATTTGGTGAGTGGTTAGTAGGTAGTTAGTGATGTTTTGACTTTTGACTTCTGTGGTTGTGCAACAAGTGACTACTTAACGTGGCGTGTTCGATACCCGAACGTAACCATATGTGTTTTATCCAAGTCGTTATGTTCTAATATCTGAGTATGTTGCATGTATCTCTAATAATACGTAAAAAGCCCTAGTGTTTATGTTTTAGTAATGGGAAATAGTAACAAATAACTTATTTATTAAGAAAATATGATACACTACTTCCAAATACACGGGGAAAAACAGGCAAGAGCTGATTTGTATATGTTATTCGTGACATCGTACCTACATATCCACATTTTTTTTGTTCGTTTCTCTCGTCATACATTTTTTAAACATGATGATAAAGCAAAAATTGTAAACATCGTAATCTTACTTTATGTTTGTATGGATGGCCCCACAAAATGCAGAAAATATTAAATTGGTAAAGATTGATGTAGCGATCTGTCTTCTTATTTTCGATGTGTAAGCATGAAGCATCATTTCTATCTAACGGAACATGTTCCGACTTTTGGTAACATTGACAAATTGCTGACTCGAAAATGAATAGGTATTCACATCGTACTGTTGATGAAAATACAGTAAAGAAAAATGTGTGCAAATACATCTCGACAGCTTTAACATACTGGAAAATTAGGTTTTGAAACGGAGGCATATGTAGGAGGAGGAGAAGGCGCCAGCTTCTCATGCATGAGGATGTTGGTTCGAAACCTGGCAAGTACCAATGTGACTTTTTCCGAGTTTTTTTTTATGTAATAAGTCGGCAAACGAGCTGACGGATTACCTGATGGTAAGCAATCAGCGTCGCCCCTGGACACCCGGAACGGAGGAGTTACGAGTGCGTTCCCGACCTTTTAGGGATTAGGGCTTTGGAGATTTAGGGATTGGGGAAGGGTCCGGGAAGGGGGAGGATTGGGCCTCCGGTAACCTCACTCACACGGCGAAACACAACGCTGTGGTGTTTCACGCCGGTTTTCTGTGAGGCCGTGGTATCACTCCGGTCGAGCCAACCCATTCGTGCCGAAGCATGGCTTTCCCACACTTGTTGAGTTGCATGTACTTTCTATTATAATTTAGATATACGATGAAGGAATACATCTAAACCTGGACTGATAATTTCTAATTATAAGTTTGAGCAATTATGGTGATTACCTAATTCTCGAACCTTTAAACCGAACCATAAAAAAATCTCGCATTCATCAATTGATTGAAAATAAACATTTTTATACTTGCACCATCCACGAATGGTCCAAGCACTGCCATCAGTAAAATTATCAATGGCGTCAGTTCCATTGTATAATTCTTGTTACCCTGTGAGTTTAACGACATAGGTCGCAAAGACTGTGACAAAATACATTTAGGTATAGGTATGCCTTGCTTATATAATTTTTATTTTAACTTTCCCTGTTTACTTAATTGTAATTAATGAAAAGTATGTACTTAGGTACAACAAAAAGCGTTCAATAATATTAAAAACTTAATTTATTTATATTAACTTTACCTTATATGAATAAATTACCTTTTGTGACATAAGGAAAGTATATACAGACAGGCTATGCGCTCAAGGAAAGCTAGAGACAGAAATGAGTGGAAATAGCTGGATGAGGTATGAATGGTATGGTATGTATGTAAATTGTAGATCTGTTAATGTACTAGACATTTATGTATAATCAAATAAAAAACCAACCAATTTATAGTAAATTTTTAAGTTTACCACTGAATTGATTTCCAAGAGAACTTTCATACTGGGTATACGTACCAAACCGTAAAATATTGAATAATTCGATTTTTTATCATTCATCCTTTTACATGGTGAAGAAATGAGCAATAATCACCAAGCCTACCTACTCGAATAGTGATTTCAAATTTCATTATGATTAACAAAGTTTCCTCACAATAAACACCCGAGTATCGTCACTGCAAGGACCTCCAAAAGGACAAGGTATGTATGCTTCACATTGACGATATGTCCACTGGATGTGACCACCTACCACCTACACCCAGTGAAAGGTACCGGTAAGGGCCGTCTCCTCCTTCTGCGAAGTAATCATGCTTGCAAAGACGCATGCGCATGTGCGAACGGATACTCCTCACGGCTCAACCACCACAGGAGACGGCTATCTCCTGATCGGATATCGCGCGACGATTTTCGACCATCGTAAGCACGGGACTGCAAGCAAGGGTGCAGTTTTAAGCGCAGAAGAATAAACGGGTGATTTTTCAGCAAGAGACTGTAATTTCCTCCGCCCGGGGCAGAGATGACATTTATTTAATGATTTTCGTACCACAATAAAAAACTTTCCTTAGAATGTTTTCCTTCGACGTTCGTTAATAGTGTCTAAATAATCTTTAAAAGTACTTACAAATATTTTGGAATGCATCAGATTGGTAACAACCTTTGTAAATGAAACCATAAAATTTATGTTTACTATAAAAAAAATCCTTAATTATTGGAAAGCGTACCTACTACTACGTAAATAATTCCAATAAATTTTTGTATGATAATATACGTTAAGATTATGTCAAATTATAGGCCTACCTCATGCTGCTCTGCTATAAGTTACAAAGGAAAAACTGATAGAAATCTCACAAATTGGGTATGATATTTTTACCACTATGACATAAACAAACAAACTAACTTAATACGGTAATGACACGACCATTACCATATTAAGTAACGATCATAAGAGAAGTAGGTTATAAATAACTTTCAAATAACCTACACACCAGATGGTTGCATACTTTACAAACAACAAAAGTTTTATTTCAATTTTATTTTACCAAAGAACTCAACTGTAAAATATTTTCTTTTAATATTTTCTTGGTCTAATGATAATGCAGTGATGAAGGTAGAAAGCATCTACCCATGATTTTTCCTGTTCTTCACAGCTTTATAAGCATCATGCACATGTCCAGCCGCATTGATAGCACGAAGGCCGTTCTTCTGTGAAAATATTTAAAAAGGAATAAAAGATTATAAACCAGAATCATCCAAGTTTTAAAAAGAGATCTAAGCAGTAAACACAGAAAGTGAATATTATATATTATATTATACATTCTGAGGGAATGTGTATTGTAATAAGGCAGATACTAAAAAAGGACGGTTAGGTTTACTTAAAAATAAAGATTAAAACCTAAACAGTATAAATAACGTTGATAATTGAAGTTAAAAAACTAACTGTAACTCCAATTTAGACAGAGAAAACATAAACACAAAATCTAACAATAAAAATACTGTGATTTTGCGTGATCAGTATATTATATAACTATTTAGAGAAAGCTTATTTAACTGTGTTTTGGTTTAAGTGTTAAATGACTTCTCGAAAAACTTAATAAGTCACAAATTAACAACTTTATCTAAAATACCTATCTAGATCGATCACAGAATTTCCATACATCCTCGTATTGTGGGTCATGAGGCTCGTTATTCCCTAGTTCAATACTTTGTGCTATTTTTGTCTCCTTATCTACTGATGTCCAAAGTTATTCGGATCTGATCTGTTCATCTGATTGAACTACGTCCTCCTAGTCTTTCACCTCCACCATCTTACCGGTGACCATGAGTTCAGTATCATTCCGGATTGTTCCAAATCCACAGATTTTTAAATATCATGGTATTGATTTTGGCCGTTAAATGCCTAATTAGTGCAAAATCCTACTCAAAATACACAAAAAAGACTTACAGCGACCGACCCCGCCTTCACTTTAGGATTTGCTTCAATAATACACATCAAGCTAGCCAAAATTGATAGCATCACCACGAAAGACGCAAACAATTTCATTTTGATAGATTTTTCTTACAAAAGATAACTTAGAGTCACTATAGGTAGAAGACACACGACTGCTATTGTGCCTTGCATTACCTTCTATTTATATGATTTCAGTATTCTTACGAGAGAAAATTATCATCGTTGTGTAAGTGCTGATGGTATCTAATTAAAACAGAGGGGAAAATATTGTCTGAATTCTATTGAAATGCACAACTACATAGGTAATTGTAATTTTATTATGTACGTGACTATAAGTAAGTCACGTCCTCCACAATTGCCTAAATTGGAACACCTTCATATAAGGGAGACTCCCGACTTTATAGGTAATAATAAAATCCTTGTTTCAACTAATTGTTGCTAGGTTATTTACCCAGCGCAAGCGCGGTCACGATTTAATTTCTATGCATGTTTTTTTTGGTATGAGATAACTATTGATATCTAATAAATAAATTATTGTCGTTGACTATAAGGGTTGTACATCTGATCCATATTACACCCGATCAGGAGTCAGTCAAGGCAGTAATTTGGGTCCCCTTGAATTTATAATAATGATAAATGACTTGCCGGACGTCATTAGACATGGCTGCTGTTTACTGTTCGCGGATGATCTCAAGTTACTGTTAAAAATTCAAAGTGAATCAGACTGTAAACGATTACAGGAGGACATAGACCGAGTACTGGAATGGAGTAAAAAAAACAGGCTATACTTCAACGTAGCAAAATGCTCGGTGATGAGTATGACGCGTGCTCGAGTGCCGCGTGCTTGATGTATAAATACGTGCTGGACGCGGTGCCTATGCAACGTGTCACGGAAGTGCGGGATTTGGCGGTTATGGTAACGAAGGAAATATCATTTCGCGACCATATTATAAAGATCTGCAAAAGGGCATTTAGAAACCTTGGCTTTGTTATGAGGCAGACGAGGAGCTTCACCAACATTGCAACAGTTAGGGTCCTGTATGACGCATTAGTCAGGAGTCATCTCGAACATAGTGCTGTCATATGGGATCCATATGAGGCAAAGTACAATGTAATGTTGGAACGTGTGCAGAATAAGTTCACGAGACATTTGTACTGGAAACTGTATGGGGTGTATCCGTACTACCCGCTGATGTATCCCACTTTGTTTGTGCTAGGCATGGTGGGATACAATCAACTCGGTGTACGACGAAAATTTGCCTTAGTTGCCTACTTGGTGAAGTTGCTCCGCGGTCTGGAGCATAACCCGGGAGTACTGCGTCACCTGAATATATCTGTACCAGACCGCTACGTGTGGAGATGGCGGCGCCCGCCAATATTGGCAGTGCCAACGGCGAGGACCAACCTTCTCGCTAAAGCACCACTGACTCGCGCAATCCATATCATTAATAAGCTCCACAATCGGATTGATATATTTACAACTCCTTCGAGTGAATTCGCAAGAGCATTATTATTTATTTTAAGTTACGATAGTGAATAGTTCCTCATGTTGTATTTTTTTTTTTTACCTTTAATCTTAGGTTAGTTGTAGTTATTATGTAAGGTAATTTAGTAGTGTTATAAAACATAGGTTAAGATGTATATATATCGAAAGTCTCTCTTTGTTATTGCTGTTATTGTTGTTACTTTTATTATTTTTGTTTTCTTTTTGTATAATTTCTTTTTAGTACTTTGAGTTCATTTTATACTAGGTTAAGCCTCACTGTCGTATTGGGAACATAACCTGTAATGAGAGTGTAGGAAGATTTTTTGTAGTAAATAAATAAATAAATAAATAAATAAATAAATAAATAAATAAATAAATAAATAAATAAATAAATAAATAAATAAATAAATAAATAAATAAATAAATAAATAAATAAATAAATAAATAAATAAATAAATAAATAAATAAATAAATAAATAAATAAATAAATAAATAAATAAATAAATAAATAAATAAATAAATAAATAAATAAATAAATAAATAAATAAATAAATAAATAAATAAATAAATAAATAAATAAATAAATAAATAAATAAATAAATAAATAAATAAATAAATAAATAAATAAATAAATAAATAAATAAATAAATAAATAAATAAATAAATAAATAAATAAATAAATAAATAAATAAATAAATAAACAAAGTCATCAATCCAACTGCAATATAATTCAATTTCTTGACAGGTTGTGGAAAGGAAGGGAAGACGAGGGATTGCTAGTTGCGAACAGCACGGTACGGTGCTTTGTTTGCACACCAGGGTTCACATAATTAACAGCTCCAACGGCTTGAATGATAATTTCTTAAGAAAACCGGAACGAGACAGCACCAAATCTATAAAGTGAAATAAACTATGTACAAACAAAAAACACCTCAATTTATTTTTAATACATTGAAAGTAAATCAACCTTACCGGCAAACCAAACCGGCATTTGTTTGTTTAGGTAGGTATTTCACTAAAACATAATATTTCATACTAGCTTTTACCCGCGAATTTGTTTGCATGGAATAGTGATTGCCTACAGATAAAAAAAAATCTTACGTTTCTCGTGTTCCAAACTGTCTGTACCAAATTTCACACAAATAGGTTCAGCAGTTTAGGCGTGAAGAAAAAACAGACAGATAGACCGAGTTTCACATTTATAATAGGTATTAGTTTGGATTTATTCGTGCTTGAAACTATGTATGGAACTATTCCAGCATTTAAGATTAATATTAGTCCCATTGTTTTGAAATTAAACTTAATTCATTGAGTTGGATGGATATTGTCGAAATTATCTAGTTAAAATAGCGCCCTTCCTTCGTACATCTATTTTCAAAATATGTAATACATATTAAACAATTTGGGAAAATCTCTTACAAATTAACTGTAAAAAAAATGTGTATCGAAGGAAAATGCAATCCAAATAAATAATTAAATATTAATTTAAAATAAAATTAAAAACTCGAGTTCAATCATAATGTATTCCTAGTTAAGTACTTCCGATCAGTTTACACACGCTATGCGGCTCGTATATCGCTGTAAAGTGATCTTTCAAAATGTCATCGTCATCACCAAAACGGTAGTTTCCAACTTCGCAGTCAAATTCAATACTTTTATCCAAACGTCAAAAACGATAGTTTTCTATGAAATTTGTATGAAAAACTGAGTTATGACGTCATAACATTTTTGCATCAAATAGCTTACTTATTTCTAAATAATTAGCTAAAAATAATCTAAAACTTAGTGATAGATTGACTGAGAAAACGAGACGAGTTGTGAAAATTTTTTTGGTAATGGCGGGAAAAAATAATCACATTTCATGTGCGCGTGGCGCGCGCGTGATGATGATAAAGAATGTTTCTTTAGGTTGTCGAGAATAGCATTTTATCGCAAGTGTGAGAGTAACTCAATCAATAAATTAAAAAAAGAACTCTATTACTCACTATTAATCACTTTATTGACATTATATGTCTAATTGTCGTGGGATAAGAGCCACTCTATGAGGAAATGTGTTCAAAAAAGATTAACGCGCACAAACTCCTCAGCTTTATAAGACTAAGTTACATGATAAGTAGGTAGATATAGAAGACAGAAACATGTTATAAAGATTTTTTTTTAGTTGGAAAGTCATCAACTTACTTCTCTTGCACTAGGTGTGGCACACTCTTACTGACTAAAAACCATCCCGTTTCTTCTCCAGATACGGGTCGGGCCGCAGAAGGTACAACTATGGATCAAAAGAAATTTCTAATGTCATATCTCATGAATTCCATCCAATTCCATCATCAAACCAACTCAATGTTAACATAATATTGTCTGGCCTGATCACCTAACCAACACAATAAGAATTGCCAAATACGAAACGAAATTCAGTTTCTTCGATTTTCAAAACATATTAAGTTTGACGTGTTACCGTCATTATTGTCTTTTTACAACGCCGTGTTCCTTAAAGAGTTAAGTATTTTGCATCCATTATTAAATAAGGTAATTTAAAATACGCTTTAATTATACTTACGTAAAATATACGTATTAGGCGAGGAAAAGTTGCCTACAATGCATTTGTTTGTTTAAATATATATATTACTTAATTAAAGGGACTTAATTCGGTTAGCAAACCATAAACAACGAAACCTGTATTGAAAAACATATAAAAGCAGAGGGCATAATGAGTTTTGTCACATTCAAATTTGCGATCTGTTTTGTAAAGCTCCCAGGGTAGCAGGAACCATACAATGAAACTGACGCCATTGCTCGTTTTGCTGGCAGTGCTCGCACTACTCGTGGATGGCGTAGTTTCAGCTCCAAGACGGTCACATAAACGCAAAAGCAAAAAAGTGATGAAAAGAATAGGAAGAGTATTGGTATGTTACTAAATTGTTTCTTTTCATAATTTCTCTTTTTAACTCTCTCGAACCGTTCGGATATCTCTAAATTTTAATAAATAGTTTTTACTGTCGATTTTAATACTAGTTTTTATGCACGTCAACACCGTCTCCCGCGAAGGATAATGATTTTATGTATACAGTATTTAATAGGTCAGCGTTTGAACACCAACTCGGCTGATCGTAAGCCTAACTAAACTTTTTCGTAAGATTACTAATCCAAGCGAATAGTTGCGAGTGGTGTAGAGAATTTAGGGGGAGGCCTTGGTGTAGCAGTCGTCATCAGGACGTAGTCTGGCTGATGAAGATGGTGTTGATTATTAACTACAGTATATCCTCTTGTTTTTTAACTATTTGGATTCTTAACTATAACACTAATTAATTACAGGAAACAATCGTCGAAGCAGCTAGTGTAGCGGCAACTGCATACGAAATCTATGAAGTTTTCGCAGACACGGAACCATCAACACCGGAGGTGACACCGCCAAAACCAACCAAAGGAAATCCGAATTTGAATTTAAATGAATCGAAACACGCTGCGTCTTCACCACCACCACCACCATCATCATCATCATCATCATCAGCTGAAATACGCCCACTATCGAAAAATGGCAAGTCAGTGAGTGGAGTTAGCTCACGGAAGATATAGAAAAAGCTGCTACTCACTTAATACGATGTGATGGCAATAATGATCCAAATAAATGATTGTTTTTAAATAACATTTTCATTTGAGTCTTCTTATTAAGTTGTTGTACAATTCTTTGTACTTAATGCAGATACAAAAACAAAGACAGTATTGATTGTCACAAAAAGATAGGGCTTCATTTTAAATCTACATATGTAGAATTTTTTTTTATGTAATAAGTCGGCAAACGAGCTGACGGATTACCTGATGGTAAGCAATCAACGCCTCCCATGGACACCCGCAACGGAGGAGTTACGAGTGCGTTGCCGACCTTTTAGGGATTGGGCAAGGGAGGAAGGGGAAGGATTGGGCCTCCGGTAACCTCACTCACACGGCGAAACACAACGCTGTGGTTGTTTCACGCCGGTTTTCTGTGAGGCCGTGGTAGAATGATGATAATGAAATATTAATATATTTACTGAAATATAATTCTATAAAATATTTCTATGAAATGAAATTATATATAAAGTATACATGGGTTTAAAATAAATGTAGATGTGGCAACCAACTAGCGTAAATTAGGCATTCAATCAACGGTAGAATGTCCCGCCGTGTGTTTGTATAATCGATTTTTTTATTCTGCGACATATACGAGGTAACAAAAGCTGCTGAATGTGTGGTAACTCTATCTTTATTTGAGAGAATCATGCTTCGACACGAGGGGTTAGGCTCGACCGGAGTGCCGGGGCTGCGGGCTAAGCGCAATGAGGCACTGCGACATCGGCCCAGAACAGGAGAAGGAACGGGGGTTTTTAATCAGTAAGAGTCTGACACTCTCTCTCGCCTTACCCTGGGCGGGAGAAGTTATTGGATGATTTACCCTGACAAAAAAAAGGCTCGACCGGAGTGATACCACGGCCTCGCAGAAAACCCACGTGACAAACCTTCCCAAAAAACGTAACTTGATGAGCAAAGACCTCTTTTCACACGAGAAGAAGACTCCTACGCCTCCTACTTTTCAAAGGAGAAAGTTTGAGCATTAATCACCACGCTTGCTCAAGGCGGATTGGCTATTTCAATCTAACATTTAAAAATGTGAAGTCCATTCAATTTTGAAAAAAGCAATCTCCGTATTTGCCAGGGCTCGAATCCTTCTTCGAAAACACGAGAAGCGGGTGCCTTAACCTCCCACGAATCTTAATCAAGCAAAATGTCAGAGATACTTACTAACGTCCACTATTCAACTATGTTAAAAAAGTCGTCAAAATCACGACTCAGGTTTATTAAAATCTACAAAAACATACCTACCAAGAATAAATTCGTATATTGATCAGGATGATTACTGAGTAGCTCCTAGCTCGGGCATCTGTTGCGAGTTGGACCCGACTTGTCTCAATTTGTCACTGTAGATTTTTGTTCAAACGTTGCCTCTTCAATTTTCGCCTGTGTCGTGGGTGCATTAACAAAAACATACAATTTCACATACACATCAAACAAATTGTAGATCACACATAAAGTTGTTGTTGAGAACCCGCGACACGTTGCGCGGCAACCGTGCAGTTAATTGTTGCAGTCAATTGCAGATTATTAAGAAAGGCATCTATTTTTCCTATAGCACGCGGGCGAAGCCGTATGTATTAGGGATAGAAGTAAGATAATTCTACCGCGTTGAATAAAGAATCCTGTGATGAGGCAGAATCATGTCTGTCGAATATCGCAATGATAAAAAGTTACCTTTGCTACCCCTCAAAACTTAAACTTTGTAAAAGTTCCATAATTTTTAATGCTTTAAAGAAGAGGTCACAAAACAATGGCGATGAGCCGGAATATGATACTTTTTTTGTGTGGGAAAAATCATCAAATGGATTCTCCCGCCCAAGGGAGGGCGAAAGGGAGTGTCATACTCTTACTGACTAAAAACCCCCCCGTTCCTACTCCTGCTCTGGGCCCAGGTCGCGGTGCCATCTGTGGTGGTCTATTGACTCTTTAAGGCGCGCGCGGAACGCCACGCGTCCTACGCTCGGGAGAGTGTGATACTTGCCAATAATCATTTGAGCCGTCTAAGACTTAGACGACTCAAAAAAAGTTTGGTTTTACTCTCATAGTTCCCGATCTCGCAGGATTTTCGGGAAGTTCTTATTTTGAACTCCATGGATAAAAACTATCCTATGTCCTTTCTTAAGTTTCAAACTATGCCTGTTCTAATTTTTCTCCCAAATGGTTTAGTAGTTTAGGTGTGAAGGAAATACAAACAGACTGACAGAGTTACTTTCGCATTGATAGCATTGGATTGAAATAAAATAAACACAGAATTTTGAGGAAAGCTTACAGCAACAGATTAAAACAACTCAAAAACCTAAGATAAATTATTGATTTTTAGCGTGCCAAAACTTAAGTTCCTGGCAACCTTCTTCTATTATAATAAATCTGTAGAGAGGCCAAATCTGTACATGAAATATCAAAATTGCTGTGCCTGTGATTTCGTCCGCTTTGTTGTAGGTTTGGAAGGGCATATTAATGTGACGGAAAAGAGTCATCATGACGTCTATAATTGGTTGTCAAACGTTGCCTTGACAAAAAGTTCGAGTTCCGCCGTAAGCATGGAGTTTTTAGTTGATGGAAATTTTGTGTAGAACTTTCTAAAAGCTTTTGTGTGAAAGAAATGAAAAATTAAAGAGCGAGAAGGAGAATAAAAAAATTAATAATGAAAAGACGAAAGAAATTGAATGTTCCATAACCTGACCGGGGGTATATAAGCGGAACTGCGGCTCACCGCTGGCAGTTAAGTTCTAAGTCCAAAGCGATTCGGAAGAAAAGGAAGAAGTGAAACAGAAGAAAAGTGAGTGACATAGTGAAGTGCTGTGAAATAGTGAAGTGCAGTGAAATAGTGAAGTGCAGTTAAGTCAGCGTGAACAGTGAGCAGCAAACGGAAGTTTGTGTCAGTCCGGACTCTGCTAGAGAGGAACTCGGTGGACGCTGTCACTTAAGTTAAATATAAAGTCTGAAAACAGGTATTAGTGTTTAATTTCATCCAATCCCGTAACCTAAGCCCGCATAGTCAGGAACGTGACGTCAGGCTCGTAACATTAATAAGGATAGAAATTACAACAATGCTTATCAATCCAAACTAGCAACTTTTTAGCGTTTGTCCTTGCGCTTTGTTGACAGTCATTACTCACATAGCATAGGCTTACTAGGAGTTGGACCCGTTTGAATGAAAATGAGAAGTTATAAGGAATCAAAGGAATTCGAGGTATGAACACACTTTCATTGGATCCACACCCCGTAAAACCTATGCTTCTATGACATTTTGCTGCAATTCAATTACTTTTAGCCTGGTATCGTTACAAAGTTTTGGGGGCCTAAGTCAATTGAGAACGTTTTGATCTCAGTCGTGATTCTCGCTAAGGTGATGTTTATGAAGCATCTGGACTGACGTTCCTGCGATGCAGGAAGTTCTTGCTACATGATCCTGTTCAAATTCCTATTACAATGGGTGAGATTTGATGTTTTTCGAGTTATTCTCACTAACTATGTTTCACCTATTGTATTAACCAATGTATTGATTAAATTAATGTAAGTTTAATTAAAATCTTATTAATTTACTTACTGCTTTATTTTTCAAATAATATTCGTTCAAACAGATATAGTCAAAATTTCTAAAAATGTATGCACCTTTGCGACCCTATGCAGCAAGATAATAATAATGTGAGTGTGGACCGTTTAGTTATTTTACCCTACCTAATAAGTGGAGAAATTTCTACATTTAAACAGACTTTATTTAGTGCCTTCATTGTTCATATCCCGTCTAGAATTGGCTGCCCATATCTTAATGACTAGTTCGGAAGTACTCACTTCTTAAGCATGGAGAGAAAAATCATCCGAAGGCTTCCCGATGTGGGGCGAGAGGGAACCAAAAATAAGTTATTTTTATTTTAATGTTAGGTATGCTTTCTATAAGAAACTGCTTTTTAAAATTTGTTCATTTACTTTGAATCAAAATTTGCAAAGGTGGAATGGCATCCCTACACCTTATACACGTACCTTATTGGAGAAATATTGAAAAATGGCCAGGTACGACCTAGGTAAGTACGAATCAGTGTGCTCTTACGGTTGTTTTGTATATGGTTGAATGGGATATGCAAGTCATTTTTTTATTTATCCTCTATTAAGGAAACATAACGTAAATGAAGGTAGTGTTGGGATGATGTTACATAGGTGTGGTTATACTCTAATGAAACAACAGAAATAAGGTACGTGAGTTTTAGAAATATATTTTATTTCTATAAATTTTAGTTGAACTTCCTAAAATTCCTATTATTAAAATTTTCATTTTCTGGAACTTTTTTGTTCTTCTGGGTGAAAAATTGGTACAATTCGTAGCTGTTTATCACCATAGTTTTCATCGCCTGCAAGCCCTCTTCCTAAAATTCATTATAAAATATATAAGAAATTATTTAATAAACCAACCAGACTGGATAATTTATAAAAATAGCCGACTGTGGATATTATTAAAATAGGCCAAAGAACATCGTACTCTGCTAAATATAATATACACCAACAGTCGAGTTCATGACAATCCTGTTTTGTAGGGGGAGCCCATGATACAGAAACAGATGCTCTCACGGGTGATAATGTCAATGATGTCCACCAAAGTCTAGCAAAGTGAAGATGGATATTGTATACTGGCCACAGTGATTTAGCTGTATGTTACATTAAGGGATATATCTGACTTTGCCGACGACACACCATTGCCAGCAGCATCAATAACAGGCACATTACTTGTTTTAATTTGTTGCAGATCAGATATCAACATTGTATGTATATACTCAAGTTAAAAATTTGTTACAAAATACACTTACAAATTTTGTTAATACTTTCTGCAGCCCCTCTATGTCGAATCCAGAGTTAGGACTCGGAGCCGACTGTGCACCACCAGCAAAAAGTGCGAGCACCGCCAACACCAGCAATGCCGTTAGTCTCATTTTATATTTTCTGTTTCCCTGGGTCCTTCACGAAACGGATCGCTAATTTGACTGTGACAAAATTCCTTGAACACTCAGTTTATATATTATATTCCCCGCAACACTAATTTTTATTTTAACTTTCCCTATTTATGTATTATTTACTTATGCGGCAAGTTAATTTGATTTCTCATTTTAAATTTAATTACTTTATATTATACTTATAAGGATTTAGGGAAACTTTTTATCGCGTTATAGGTGCCTAGGTAGGTATAAATATGTGCATAAATGTTATGTTTAACAAAATGCATTTAATATATATATAGTGATAAACAATAATGCATTACGAAATTGCTTATGGATAAACTAAAATAAACGTCAATTTTTGTGACGCCCTCGTAGTTTTCTTAACAATACTTTAAGAACTATGGTCTATGGCTTTTCGGACCTCCCACACTTAAAGTGTCTCTTGTCTCTATAGTGTTTAGTGCCAGGACTTATAATATTTTCTTAAATTAAATTTATAGCAAGGCCTGCAATGTTCGTTTATCGTCTTTAATGTTGCGAGTAACAATGGGCGGCACCAACCACTTACCGTTAGGCGAACCCTGTTCTAGTTTTTAAAATCTAATCCTTAATCGATATATCCATATATTCATGCCCTGTAACCTATTATAATTAAGTAAGACTTGTAGAATATAGGTACTTGTGTCGGCTGGGAGCTGTCATGCTCACTCAGAGGTCTCATTGGCAGTGGCACGGGCACTGGATCGCCCAATTCCCTATAATATGGTTGAGTTGGGCGGTGCTGGTGTACGTGTCATGTTCGTGAACGGGCGCCGCCTATTGGGACTGGTCATCTCCAGGCTGTCTAAATATGTTGTCCTTGAGGTTCACTTCTTTTTCGTACTTTTTGCCTGAACATTAGTGTTACATTGTTCTCACATATTAGAACCGACTAAATGATGTAACAAAGAAATGTATTGTAAAACTGATTGAAAAAGAGTAACCATGGAGTTTCTTGCTCGTTCTTCTCCATAGGAATCTACACTTTGGCAAATAGCTTCACTAGAGGACAGACGGACAGACTGACACGCTTAATTTTAAAGCTCTTGTTATATACTTTTTTCCTTTTTTGCTTGCTTGACGTTCAAAAGTGCCTACTGTGGTCTAATTGAAATAAATGATTTTTGACTTTTGACTTTGACATCGAAAATATAATTTTTTATGTCTTTACTTTATGTCATAGGTCGGCGCAAACGAACAGCCGGATTACCTGGGGGTAAGCAATCAGCGCGCCCATGGACACTTGCAATACCAAAGAAGTTACCACAAGTGCGATGCCAGCCTCTTGTGGGTTATTTTTTTTTTATTAGGGATTTGAGGTTGAGGATGAGGAGTTGGTGGAGGATCGGTCCTCCGGTAACCTTACTCACATAGCGAAACACAACGTATGTGTTGTTTCACTATGTGCTCCGGTCAGCCCTATCGTGCCGAAGCATGGCTCTCCGTTTTCTCATGTTGTTTGTAAATTGCATTTTTGCAATTGCAGCTCTGCATTTGGTAAAGAATTGATGGAAATGCAAATAGTGCAATTTACCCACTTATGTAAACTGTAATTTACCCACGTATTAATATTATCTAACACTAGCAGCCCGCCCCCGCTTCTCACGGATCCAACTATCTCGCTATCATAGGGTCACTTTTTCCTAATCTTCCCTCCACTTTTCTAATATTTTCTTTGATAAGAAACTTCTCCTGATAGCATTACTGACTGGTTGACTTTCTATATTTTTTTCATATTGACTGTTAGACCATGCCACTTAAATTACACCATACATGGTATCAAAAAGGTAAATGATAGAAACTACCCTCACCAGTTTTTTTTTTTTTTTTATAGACAAGTTTATTAGCTTTTTTACAGAAACAATACAGAAATTACATTAAAATTTAGTTTTATTTACGCTTTATACCATCAATATTGGTCTAAAAGTCGTACAGCGATCGCTGTGCACAGATCTCGGGTTTGAAGCCGGTCGTGTCAGATCGCCGTCCCATCGGACTATAAGAGTGAGGCAATAAAAAGTGCGCCTGTTTCTGCGCAAACGCAGTTGGCCGATCTCCTTTGAGAGAACGGCTGCCTTGTCTGGACGTCAATATTAAAGGTAACCCCAAAAATAAAACAAATGAATGTGCTAAAAAGAAGCACATTTATTTAAAACAAAATTGAAGTTAAGAATATTAACTGGTGGTATTATCACCTAAAGAAAAATTTACAATGTAAACCTCATCAGCCAGTAGTTCTGCTTTATTTTAAATCAACAGGTTACATAACAATCAAAATTATATAACGAAAGAAATTAACACAAGAACATATTTATTTTCAACTCAACAAATTACGATTAAATATATGTCCATATTAAAATCTATAAGAATCGAACAAAATAACAAAAGGATCAAATAGTATCATGGGGTAAACTAACGCTAATCATAAAAATAACCAATAAAATGTATATAATCGCCTGTTTAAAATATATAAAATAAAAAATAAATAACAATTCAAATAAATCTCAATTACAAAAAAAAATGAGTTGGAAAAATATATTTCTGTTTATAATGTTTTGTAAATCGAAAAAAAAAATTATATTACATGAAAAAACCAATAAGTAGGTACGCCAAACAATACCAAAAAAGATAAAAAAATATGAACATAAAAGAACTAAATTCAAATTTAAAAAAAAATAAGCGTATCAAATTTAAATTTATTAAAAAACGATTCGCTATCTTAACTAAAACTATCATAACTCTGGTTTCTTATACCGAAAAACTTAACTTAGATAAATAGGTAAACACCAAGCAAACAATCAATAGACGCGCCACGCTAGCTGTCTCTGTCCAACGGGAAGTTCAAGCACTAGTCGCATGCTTCGGACGTTAGGATTTTCTTGCAGATTTGAAAGGATTTGCGGTCAGTGGGTAGTCTTAGCGGCAGAGTGTAGGGGTTAGAATATACGCCTAGGGGCACCATAAACTTTCTTCTTTTTGGGAGTTTTTTTTTTTTATTTGTCCTTTTTTGCGGCGTATGATTAAACTTATTCTTAGAAACCATTTATGATCTGAGAATTATGGCGCTACAACGCACATTTGCCGAGTTATGGGCCGTATACTTTTGTTTATCTATACTTATATTATAAAGAGGTAAAAGTTGTAAGTTTTAAGTTTATAAGTTTGTATGTAGGGGGCAATCTTTGGAACCACTGGTCGGATTAGCAAAATTCTTCACTGATAGATAGCTGCAATGTTCCTGGGTGCTATAAGCTATAAAACATCACGCTAAGATCAAATGAAGCCGAGCAGCGGGTGATACCGCACGAGATTTGCTAGTTTTAAATGAAACGATTTTTGATGAGATTGTTTTCGTGTATTTCTTTCGAAGATTTTCCTAATTTTTTTACTTGATAATTTTTTACTAATTTTCGTGTTAAAAAATGGTATTTTGAATATTACAATTATTTCTTTTACGAAAACAATCTTATCCGAGCTACTATTTTAAAGTTATAATCATTTTATGCATAATTAAAAAAGTTAAAAGCCCATAAGCCGGAAACGGCGCGTTGTAGGGCAAGACGTCTCATTTTCTAAATGGTTGCTACAGACAAGTTCAACATGATACTGCAAAAAAGCAAAAAAGAAAAACATCGCATTTTTTAACTCCTTGATCTATAGCGCCCCTAAGGTCATTCTCCAACCGGATTTGCCTCGCGCGCGGCTACTGGTTTTTTTTTTTTTGTGAGGGGAAAATCATCAAATGACTTCTCCCGCCCAGGGCCGGGCAGGAGGGAGTGTCAGACTCTTACTGACTAAAAACCCCCCTGTTCCTTCTCCTGCTCTGTGCCGAGGTCGCGGTACCTCATTGCGCTTACCCCGCAACCCCGGCTGAACATCAGCCCTTTAGGGCCCCGTCTGTGGTGGTCTATTGGCTCTTTGAGGCGCGCGCGGAACGCTACGCGCCATACGCTCGGGCCTGGTTCTGGTCGGGCGGCGAGCTGCCCTTACTCGCCGACCGCAGGCCCGTACTTACACTACGGTGGCCGGAGATCGTCCCTCGATCCCCGACGCCCGTAGTGTCGCCAGTTGCGGCTGCTGGGGCGTGAGGAGGAGGATTGCTCCCTCACGCGGGCCGCCTCTCTCTTTGCGAGCATGACTGCTTCACAAAAGGAGGAGACGGCGTCCCAGTTCCTCTCACTCCGCACCATGGCCTCGACTAAGGCCGGGCGCGAGAGGTCGCCGCCACCGATCACTTCCCTGAGGATACGGCGGTGCTCAGCCCAGGCAGGGCATACCGCTACCGTATGCTCCACCGTATCCTCTAGGTGGTCCTCACAATGACGACACTCGGGCGTTTCCTCCCGCTGAATCCGAAACAGGAACCTACCGAAGCTGCCGTGCCCGGTAAGCACCTGCGTCAGACGGAAGGTGAGGACGCCGTGGCGTCTCTCAAGCCACTCCTCAAAGAGGGGTCTTACCGCTGCTATGGTAGCGTGCCCGACTGGTTGCGCACTGAATATTGGCATCCCTAAAAAAGCATACACATACCTTATTGGAGAAATATTGAAAAAAGGCCAGGTACGTACGAACTAAGTACCTACGAATCAGTGTACTTTTACCGTTGTATTGTGTATTGTACCTGGTTGACTGAGATATGCAAGGCATTTTTTTGTATGATCTATTAATGAAACATAACGTAAGCTAAGGTAGTGTTAGGATTGTGTTACCTAGGGGTGGTTATACTTTAATGAAACAACACAAATAAGGTACGTGAGATTTACAAATTTATTTATTTTTTCTACATATTTTAGTTGAACTTTTTAATATTTCCTTTATTTAAAGTTTCATTTTCTGGAACTTTTTTGTTTTTCTGGGTGAAAATTTGGTACAGTTCGTAGCCGTTTTTCACCATGGTTTTCATCGCCTGCAAGCCCTCTTCCTAAAATTCATTATAAAATATATAAGAAATTATT